ATTCAAAATAGAAAACTAGAAAATTGTGTACCGCAAAAATTATCGGTAAACCGTAATTTTTTTCTCATATCATTTAAATAATTTTAATAATTAAATTAATTTTTTTTATTAATAAATTATTTTATTTATATATTTCAATACTTTTTCGTTATTTTTTCCCTCGAAACATCATAATAATTATTAAGAATATTCATGTCGCTTTGTACCAATATTAAAATTTAAATATTTTTATCGTAATATTAATTAATAATAATTTAATTTTAAAATAATAGTAATAAACAAAACAAAAAATGAAAATATATTAATTATATTATTAATTTTATTAATTAATTAATTAAATTTTTAATTTTTAATTTTGATAATTTCAATATTTTTATTTATTTATTTTTCGCAATACAACTATTATATACACTTTACATATTGTATTTTATATACTCGTATATATATTTTATACATATACATTAATATATATATGTATAAATATATATGCTTTATTTAAGTACAAAATCAATAATAATTCATTATGATATCAGCAAATTAAATTTTTTAATTAATATTGTAGCACAGCCTTGATAATACGAATTTTCTAACCATTTTTTTTTGTTTCGTAAATAATTTATAATAATTGTTGTAATTTATTTTATAAATCGGCAAAATATTATTATTAATTGCCTATATTATAAAATTGCGGTAATTAATCATAATTAACAAATTAATTAATTTTATTATATTTTCTTTATTTTGCTTTTCTGAATTGAACAAAATTCCTACTATGCTTCGATAGTATGGAAATTTTCTGACCTATTATACTAACAGAGGTCTCTTTTTATATAGCCCTATATAATGTTAAAACAAAACTAAAGGTTTGCTTTTTAATTGTTTTTTTTTGCAATAATTTCAAAGTATAAATTCGCCTTATTTTCTGCCTCAAATTTATTATGTAATCGAGTACCTAATTGTGGTAATTTTATTAAATTTACAAAATTTGTTTGCTAAAAAATTTTTAATGTTAAAAATAAATTTTCTAAATAATGAAAGATTACAAATAAATTACTAAAATAGAAGAAAAATATTTTATTAATTGCGAATAGAAACGAAAATTATATTATACACAATTGTTAATTTAGAATGAAATCTTAAATTTAGAATGTCACTATCAAAATAGAAATTTTATCATGAAAGGAAAGGCTCTACCAATAATTTTTGATTTAATATCTATATATTAGGAATATGTAAAGAATTCGATTTCAATTACATTAGAAATTTGTTGCTACTTGTATAAGGTAAGTATTGTGGGAAGCCGTTTTATTGCATATGTTCTGGCCTATATTAGCTATAATTTTACATAATGTAATAATTTTGATTGTTAGGAAGTTTTTGATTTCTCAGATAGATATGTACCTATAATTTAATTTAAATCTTTCAGATTTCTAAAAACTTTAATAATATTATAGTTCTTGCAAAGGTTTAATACTCTCAGTTTTTTATGCACATTATTTTAAAGATTATTGAATGCATATTACACTTTTCTAACTCAAAATATTTTTTTCTGGGATTTTTATATAAATGATTTGATAATGCTTTGAAATTTTAAGCAAAATTACTATTATTGACCGTGGTTTTTGCCACATGACTATAGCCACGAGTCTTTTTGCAAATTTTTCAAAAGCGTACGTTTATTTAATGTACAATTTACCAGATTTATTTTGTTTACTAGATTACCGTAATATTCTATTAATATTATTTGGCAAAAAATGAAAAATTATATTAAAAAATGGATAACTTATACCTTAAAATGAGGAAAAAAGAAAAATACAATTTTAATTATAATATTATTAATTAATATCGATGTGCCTGTCGTTACCTAAATTCTAATATTAAATTTCGAAAATTTCTTCGAACAAGTATTTTTCTTTCATATTAATTTTTTAATAATTCATTTTCTTCTTCTTACATTTTTTATTTCTAATTTCTATGCATTCTAGAATTTCTTAATTTATTTAGATAATAAAAATCAAATTTCGACCTCTATATTTCTATTTCAAGTAGAAACTAAAACGTATTTCGGAAGAAAAATAAAAAATTAAAAACAGGAGAAAGGGTGGGGGGGGGGGGGGGAGGAAAATGAATTGAGATCAAACTCTTCATTTTGAAAATTAATATTTTAAATTTCTTTGATTAAATAAAAGAAAATATTTTGAAATTTTTTAAAGCAGAAAATCAATATGATTTATTTTTTCAAACAAAAATTTTTTTTTGTTGAATTTTTTAAATTTTTTTTTTTAATTTTTCTTTTTTTGGGAAATAACAATTTAAAATCTTAAGCTCTAATTTTTAAAAATGAAATAATGTTAAAAAAAAAATCGAAATAAAAATTATACACACTAAATTTTTACAAATTAAAATTTTTATTTAAGAAAACATTTTTGTAATTTTAAAGGTTTATTAACAAAATCAAATAATAAAAAAAAAAACTAATTTTAGTCTAATACAAATTTGAAACTAGAAAAAAATAATTAATATTTTCATAATTTTTAATATTAAATAAATTTTTCAAATTGAATTTTTTGCCATATATTTTGTGATTTGTTGATTACTTCTTATGGTTTTCGATTGACATAAAATATTTTGCTGTTAATCTTTTACTAAAACGTGATTCGGTAATTAGAAATTAGAATCTCGTACTTTTAAAAGGTAAAAGTGGCAACTCTGTTAATAACCTAGATCTATGATTTATTTTTATTTCGATTTAACTGAAGATAACTCAGTTATATATACGTGACACAGGCTGACAGTCGATAATTTAGAGTTTTAAGGTATTCTTTGCGAACTACGTAGCGAAATAAAAGAAATAATTTCAGAAATGAGAAACATTTTTATTTGATATGCCGCTCAGATATATATAACCATATTCTAGTTATTGGCCTGATGTTAAAAAAAAAATTTCACATGCCTTTCTGGTAATCGTGTCTGTAAGCTGTAGAAACAGCTTCTCACGTCAGCTCTGTAGGAACCTACATAGCTGACGTGAGATTACAAAAAATTTTGAAATTGAATGAAGTGAAAAATATTTTGGTTATTTATGTAGTTTTAAAGAAATAGTTAGTGATTTTTTGAATCTCTTGCAACTTCCTATAGCTGTTCGGTAATATAAAAAAACACCGATAATCAATATTAGAATTAGTAAAGGAAAATTTTTAATATAATATTAATTAAATAATTTTTTGTAATTAATACTTCGCCACTGCGTTTGCCTTTTATTTTGCATTTTATTTATACATTAAAATTAGGAAAACCCTGACGTGATGATTTATCGAGTACAAATTTAATATTGCGACGATAAAAAGAAATTATTACGTCGTATGAAAAGCTTTACAAAAAAAAAGAGCACACGTCAAGAATGGTATCACTTTTAATTATCACATCTACACAACTATTAGAATAATACATAGATATGATACTATTACTTCATGCGATATTTGAATGCGACGCGATTACCACAAAATGAGTGATAATGAAGATAGAGAAATTTGTATAGCCACATATTATTTGAATAGACTGCTTATCCTGTTCTGGTCTTAAATTTAGAATAGGTACATGCTCAAGTCAGCACGGAACAAAAATTGTTTTGTTCGAGTTTAAGAAATATACATTGATAATAAATTTTAAAGAGAAATAACTAATTGAATAAAATTTCATAAAGCTTTTTTAAGAATGAGTGCGGAGTCCACATTTTATAATATATAGCTAACCATAATAAAAAAAAAAAAAATTTAATTCAATTTGAAATCTTTATTTTTTTTTTTTTGTTTTAAAAATTCTACAATAATTTAAATTGAAAATTTATATAACAAACTTAAATAATAAAATTAAAATTAAATAATAAATAAAATATTTTATTTTACAAAAATTATAAATATAAATAAATAGAAAAATAAATAATGAAAACTCTGTATATTCGATAAACAACTTTGATTTAGACACTACGTTTCTATTCTCTTTTTTTTTTCTATATATTTTCTTCAATATAAATTATTTAATTTTTTAAAATTCACTGTCATTTCCATTTCTAAATACATTAAAAATTTTTATGTTTAATTTTACTTTAATAAATGTGTTTGTGTGTGTTTTGTTTTTATTTTTTTTTTTTTTTAATAGACGCATTTAATTTTCTTTTATTAATTTGAAAAACGAATATTAATTTTTAATTGAATATTTAATTTTTTTATGTTTCAAATAAAAAGCAATTTATTGTATCTAATTAAATTTTTCTTTTGTGTTTAAATTTTTAAAAAATCTTAATTATTTATAATTGCAAAAATTTAATATTCGCTTGAGAGTAACATTACATAATAAAATATAAAATGAAAAGAGCAATAAAAAAAAAAACCAAACAAAAAGGAATTTACAAAATTAAAAATTATGAATTTTTTTTTTGTATTTTCCGTCTTTTTAATTATTTTATAATTTTTTATTTAATATTTTTTTATTTAATATTTTTTGAATTTGTTTCTAAATGTTATTAAATAAATAAATTACATAATTATAATATGATCTAAAATAAATTATATTAATTAAGTTTTTTTTTGATTAGCATTTTTCGCAATATACAAATGTGTTTTGTTTTTATGTGTTTAATAATTATGATTAATTCGAAAATTTTAATGATTATTATAATTTAATTAAAAAAATATTAAAACTTATTTTAATAATAATAATAACTGTTTATATTATTATTTTTCTTCTTTTGTTTTTCTTTTTTTTTTCTAAAATATAAATGGTATAATGTTATAAAACAAAACTCAAACAAATAAATTACAATTATTTTATACGTAATGATTTATTACAATAATAATATTCGTAATGGTATTAATGGAGTATTATATTAATGAAAATTTTATATAATTTAAAAGAAAAAAACAATAAAATAAAAATATTTGAAAACAGGAAGAAAAAAATTACTCAAAAAACACATTTTACATTTTATAATTTTTTTTTTCTTTTTTGTATTAAAAATTATTATTTAAGGATAAAAATTTTTTCTTTTTTTTTTCTTTTTTAGTTTTTTTTTAGCTATAATTTAATTTTTTTTTTATAAAATTATTATTGTGTAATATCTTGACTTTTGGAATGTTTACTGTCCTGAAAATAAATTAGAAAAAAGAATAGAAAATAAAATGGCAAAATAATTTTTTGAAAATTTTTTTTTTTTACTTTTTTTTTTGAATTTGAATTTGAATAAAAATAATTTGTGTTAAAATTTTGTATAAATATAGAAAAAATAAATTAGTATTTAAAGTAGTATTTAATAAATTAGTATTTAATTTTTTTTTTATTGGTAATTAGTAATTGTAATAAAGTTATTTACAAGCAATAAAAATTTCTATTTAATTACATATTATTTAAGGATTCTAAATTATTATGAATAAAAAGCAAATTAAGGGGAAAATGAAATTTGTCCCAAGTTTTTTTTTTTTCATTTAAATACAAAAAAAATTTGAATCTATTTTAATTTTAAATTTTGGAGTAAATTAAAAGTGAATAAATTATTTAATAAAAGTATTAATGTACATAATATACATGGTACGTTATTTACAAAAAAGCGCATTTGAAAAAAAAAAATAAAATAAAAATAAATAAATTTTAAAATTTATTAACTATTTTGTTATTAAAAATTAAATAGTGCAAATAAAATAATAAGGATAAAATAAATAAATATGTAATTTAAAATTTTATAAAATAATACCTATATTTCAATATTTTATATATATCTATTTGTATAAAAATGAAATAGCAATAAATTTTGGTTTATTTAAGAATTATTTATAATTTTCTTCCAATAGTTTTTTTCCGAAAATTTTTATATACTTATATATTTTGTTTAAATTTTCATTACAGAAAAGTAAGAAAAAAATTTGTTCTCTTTAAAATTATTCAATGTCATGCTATCAGGCCACGAAGCTCAGAAAGAAACCAAAGCGAATGGGAATCAATTCGTTGGAAAATCCATTTAAAAAAAAAAATTTGCAATTTTTAACGTAACCAATATTTTCTATCTTCCAAATGGAATTGTATTGAATTACAGAGTAAAATTTTTTAATAAAAAATTGGGGATTAAAAAGAAATTGAAAAAAAAAATTCCAAAACAATAATAATTATTTAAACATACTAAATATGATGAGAGTTACAAAAAATAATTAAAAATTTCAATCGGAATAATTCGAAAACAAAAAATATTAAGGATTAATTTTATTTATCACACTCCGATTGCAATATTCCGGAAAATAATTTTAGCTTGGTGACCTGATACTGATGGATATACATATTATGTTTGTGTATATATGGCATTAACTTAAATTATTGCAGTTAAAATAAAATTGGTAAAAAGTATTTATTATTAATTGGTTTTAAGGTTAATTTATTTTTAAATAAATGTAAATGTAATTATTTATTAATTATTGTTAAATTTTATATTTAAAACATTGTAAAGGAACAAAAGAACAACGAATAATATTATGATTAAGATAAAAATCTATCTTCATTATGGTTTTAATAATTTTTCAAACAATTTTTGAAATTAAAATTTTTATTTTGTCAATTAGATCTTAATAATATTAATAAATATAAATTAACCTTAAAATATTAGGATACTAAAAACATATATTTAAATTGAAATAATTATTATTTTGCTATTATATATTTTATGTATATACGTATGTATATATACTATGCACTTGTGTACATATAACATTATTTTATGCAATACTCGTAACAATATAGTCTTAATATTATTTTATATTCAAAAAATTTTAATCATTTTGAACAACAACTGAAATTATGTTAAAGGAACAAAGTAAAAAATTAAACTAGAAAAAATTAGTATAACAGTTTTAAAAAATCTAAATTATAAAATTTTAATTAAAAAGAAAATAATTTATTTATGTAAATAATTTTACTTTTAAATTTTTTTAATCTGATTATTAGGAAAATTCATTACAATAATAGCGATAGAAGATGAAATATTGTATTTATATATATATATTACATTATATAAAATATTATATTATACGGAAAATTAATATAAATGGTTGCATATGCTCAAAAAGTAAACAATTATAATAAAAATTGAATTATTATTTAATTAAATTTAATTTTTCTAATATTAAATTTAAATAATGATTTTAATGTTATATTGTATATGAACCACCTACATACATATTTATTGAATATCTTTATATTATGCTCAATGAATTAAAAAAATGTTATTGGTGAGAATTTTTAAATTCAAATATAAAATTGATGAGATTTGTAAAATATTGAAATTGTGAATATTGAGCTATTGTGAAAAATTGAAATTTTTTTTTTTTGTTTGAAATTTTTATGAATAATTTTTAATTTTTTTCATTATACGAGTAGCTAATTGGTTTTTTTTTTTAAATTTTCTAGGAATTTTAATTTTTATACAATATGTTCGCAATTATCTTATAAAGTTTATATGGCTAAGATATTTTTAATGCAAAAAGAATGAGAATGAGAGAGAATTACTTTTTATTTTTTATTATAATCTTTAGAAAATTGTATTTTAAAGGTGGTTTGGATTCTTGTATCTGGTACAGCTATTTTTCCAAAAAAAAAAAAAACTTATTGTTTGCGGAAAAATATATAGCGTATAAATAAATTCTTATCATATCGAATGCTAGGCTACATCTAAAATAATTTAAAAAAGAATTAAGTAATATATAATTATTATACTAAAGTATTGTGACAGAGATACAATTTATGCCATTTGAATGTAGGTATGAGCCTATCTACTCTCAGCTAATATTATAATATTATGTAGAATATGTAGAATAATAACGTATTAATGAATTATGGTTGAGGCAGGGATTGTAGTTATTGATATTTTGTAATAATAATATAGCAGTTGGCAAATTGTATTTAACCATCAGGTATATAAGTTTATAGGTGTAATATTGTTTCTATATATATATAAAAATAAAAAGGTGTCATTATAAACAAAATTAATAAGAAAGTGTTCTTATTATGTGAAAAATTATGCAAAAATTTTATGCAATGTTACCAGGCATAAAATTATCAGAAATATTTTTTAAATTCATAAATTGAATTCGGAATATAGCAAATGTTGCAAAAGCACTGGACATTTTTTAATAAAACACAAAGTGTATATATGTAACTGTAGCACGATCTTCGGAAAATAATGCGTTAGTGCTAAAAAATTTACTAATAATCGTTAAAAAGTTTTGTTAGCACATATTATTGATTTAACTACCATTATCTTAGTGGTAATTATTAGTGCCAAAATAATCTGTCTTCAATCGGGATTTTTAGAAAAATCAATTCCTCATATTACCTGAGAAGCATAATATTATTGAGAACATGCGAAATATCCTTCATGCGTGCACTATTTTTTTTACGTTAATCGTAATATTTCTTATGTATGTTGCCGGATATATGTATGTTATCTTTAACATACGAAATATTACGTTAATAACATTCCGTAACAGTTTTCAAAGCTATATGCAGCGATAAAAGAAATATTTAATGTTATTTGAAAAAAGAAAATGGTGGAATTGAATTATGGCTAAAGTTTTGTCTTATTTATCGTTTTTAATTTTTTGTTAAAATTAATTAAAAAAATTTCTTTTAAATTTGAAAATTTTATGAAAAATTATTATGTAAAACTTTTTTGTTTTTCCTTTTTTGAAAAATTAAGTGAATTATACGAAGATTTGCTTTGAAAAAATTTTTTTGATTAAAAACTATTCGATGAAATTGAAAATTTTTATGTAGAATTAAAAGCGTTTTGTTTTTTTTTGTCAATATTAAAAAAATTAATTAGTTTTTCTTTTATGAGGAATTGCGATTTTTTTGGATTTTGCAATGCTTGTTGATTGTTTTAAATTTTATATAATTTTTTTGGTTTTCTCTTAAAAATTATAATTTTTTTTTTGTTTTGTTGAGAATTACTGAGTTTTACAAGTGATAATTAAAAAAAATAAATTAAATATTTTAATCTATATTATTAAATTTTTTTTTTAATTACTAGTATTTTAGTTTTTAATTGTTTTTTATTTTTTGGTTTGAAGCAAACATTTTAATATCATTTTTGTTTTTTAAACTTTATTCAAAATTTAGTTTTTTTTTTTTGTGGTTTTGTTTTTTTAGAAAATTACAACAATAAATTTAACTATATTTCTTTTTTGGTTTTTGCCTATAAATCCATATTTTGAATATGGTGTAATAATTTAATAAATAATGAGTAAAAACAGGTATTAAAAGTTGTTGTTGTTTTATTTTTAAAGTTTTTAGTTTGGTTCTGCAGCATTTTATAAATTTATAAATTATAATATTAATAATTTAAACAAAAAAAAAAATAAAGAACAAAATCTATACAGTTAAAAAATAATATTCGATAATTGTTATACAAGAAAAAAAAAATGAAATAAAAATTTTTTTCTCTAAATTTTTTCTATGAAAATTTCATGCTAATTTTTTTGTTTTAATTAATAATTTTGTCTTTTGCAGCCAGAAACAGAAAATTTTAGCGAGAAAAAAAATATTTTTATATATTTATATATATACATTTATATACATATTTTTTTTTTGAAATTTTTTATTGTTTTCATTTTTTTTATATGCATTTCTTTTTTTTTTTTATTTGTGTTCTATTTTGTTTTGTTAAGTATTTGAAATTTTTTTTTTTTAATGATGGTTTTATATTAAATATAATATTTTAATAAGAATTTCTAATTAATTAATTTAATGAATAATCACAAGGATCATACTTGATCTATTTCATCTAATGATTCCAGTTTAGCTATAGGAGCAAATACTGTAGTCCAATTATCGCTATCTTCCATTGTTTGATTAAACGATGAAAATTTTGAGCATCTAAAATTTAAAAATTAGGGATAAGTAAAAAATTTAATCATTTTTATGTATACCATTGTAAATTAAAATTTTTTAATAATAGTAAAATATTTGAAAAATATAATGTGTAAGAGAAAAAAGCAAAAAATATATTATAACGTTATGTTCTTTTTGTCTATTTAGAGTAACTTATTTAATTGTAAGTAGTGAAATTTATATTGCATACCTTTAGGATGAACATTAGTACTGAAATTTTCTGGTGGCATAAAGATCGAATTATAGAATGGACTAATTAATTTTGTTAAAATGTAATTGTACAATCTTTTCAAACAAAACAATTGTGGTTACAATGTTGTTTTAATCAAAATTCAATAAATCTTATAGTAGGCATTGATTAAATATAAGATTAAAAATTTGTACATTAAAAACTTAAAGCCGGATAATAATTCAAGTAAGGAAGAAAAAATAAAAATAAATTTGTCATAATAAAATTAATTTATTGTGGGTGATATGGTTGAGTGTCGTTATGTAAAAATCTTGTGCCACGCACATAATTTTGTTTATAGAGACTTACTTTTTAACAAAATTGAAGGGTTTTATCATAAATTTGGACATTTTATTTACTTTAACTTTTAAATTTTTTTTTAAAAACCACAAAATTAAATTTTATGGTGTTTCAAACATGACTCATGGCTAAGATAATTGTGACCAGTATAAGATTAATGTAACCCCTAGTAAATATTCCGAAGCAAATAAAATTACCTGAACAAACTCTTTTCGTTTGATGTAGTTGCAGCACATTCCGGTTGTGAAATAGATCTCTGTACATTTGTTCGTTGTTGAAGTTGTTGCTGTTGTGATTGATGTGATAACTGTGGCTGCTGTAATTGTTGTTGAGATTGCTGTTGTTGCTGCAATTGAGTTTGTGATATTTGTTTTTCAGTGATTCCTCCAGCTAAATCAAATGAGAAATCACTTTCGGACGGTTGAAAGGATGTCGTTATTTGTTGACCAGCTAATAACTGTTGTTGTTGTTGTATTTGTTGTTGTTGTTGCATTTGATGTTGTAACTGTTGCTGATGTAATTGTAATTGCATTTGTTGTTGTTGATGCAATATATCCAATATTGTTCTAATATCTTTATGTAAATTTGTTTCTAATGAATCGATACGTTTTGTTAATTCACCTAATTGAATTTTAATTGAGCTAAAATTATAAAATATTATGAATATTAAGTAACAATATATATAAAAAAAAAATTTGTATACCTAATTTCTGAAGATTTCGCACAATGATGGACACTACTACTAACACTATGATGTGGACCACTACCACTGGTCGTTATATGATGATAAGATGGTAGTTCACTATGAATAGGTATATCACTTCCACTGTCTATATGATGTTGTTTCGGTTGTTTTCTACTATGTTCTCTAGATGGACAGAAACATAAATTATTTGTTGGTGTTGCACTCAATGTAACTGCATCTGTTTCCCTATATTGCTCTTCATAATCATCTGTTATTGAACACTGATGACCTAATACATTTAATGGATCTGTAATAGCACTTGCTTCACCTGTTTCTTCAATTTCATTTGATTGTAATATATTAGCACCAGCAATACCATCACTTTCATCAACTCGACCAGTTAATGTTATACCTGTTATTGGAATATTTAAATTGGGTGGCGGTTGTCCATTACTTCCTCCACCTCCATTATCTACACCACCACCTAAACTACCAACTCGACTTTTGTGCGTATTAGTTTGGTGTTGGCTATCTGTTGGCGATGCTGTTAATTTATATTTGAAAAAAAAATATATATTTTTCATTTGATAAATATGGTCAGGCTACATGTTTTTTAAATATTAATTTAATACATCAAGCTACATTCCCGTAGCAACGAAAAACAAAGAGTGTTTTTGAAAATATTGAACCATTTGTATAATTTACAATTGAAAGTGAGTGTAATTTTATTGGATGTTCAAGCAAACTATTTTATATTTTGTTATTGTGCAATTTATTTACAATATAGTTTACATTATATACAAACACAGTAAAAACTGAAAATTCAAAATAACATTAAATTTTATAAATAAAAATAAAATATTGAGATTCACATGAAAATAAACGTAACGTAAGGAAAATAAAATAAATAGCGAGCGAAATATTTTAATGAAATAATAAATCACAAAAGTTCACAAAACAACAGGACTTTTTGGTAGTCATTATATAATTATTATTTATAAAGAAATTTACAAGTAAAACCAATTTTTGAACAGAAATAAAAGAAAATCAATAAAATATATTAAGTGCATAATTAGAATTAAATAAAATGAAAATTGTGTTCAAGCTGATAGAAGAAAAAGAAATCTTTGGAAAAATTAAGAAAAAAATAATAACGCTGCATGAAAGCACATTTATTGTTTAAGAACTTTATAAAAATAACAAACTTAATATCCTGATCATACTACAACGAATGATATGTTCTTAAATAAAAAAATCTGTTTATAGAAAATTTTTCTTCAGTGCAACTTCATATTGGGCTGCCATAGTCGACAAACATTCTTTGGTAATATCGTTGCATTATTAGCGTATTGCACCATTGGAAAATATAAATACCTATGTGCGGCTTGACTGTGTACCATTTGTGTAATTTACAAAAACTTATTTAACACATTTCCAACAAAATTGGAAAAGGCGCGCTTATAACTTTAATTTTATATGTCTGTTCGTCATTTCACCTGCTTTTTTAAATAGAAAGCTTAATTGAATCTGTTATACACAAATCGATCTTTAATAGAACACCTAATTTTCTCTGCTAGAAAATATTCAGTCTAACTTAGTTGTACATAAAATTTTCAAAATTTTTTAATATTCTAAATACCGAAACCTATATCATAATTTTCGATTTTCTACACAAATCATTATTAATAGTATACAAGTTTCTTGACAATTCTGGTCGAATTATAATAAAATGAGTTGATTATAACACTGTCTTTAAACTGAAAATTTAAAAATAAAAATCGATGATGATATTTTAATGACATTTTTATTTACTGTTGAATACCAATACTATACAGAAATTTCAAAGGGTTATTGTACTTTAAAGGATATAAAAAAAAACTATTTTTGATGGATTTTAAATTGATTTAAAAAAAAAAAAGAAAGAAGAATAAGAAACTCGTAATAAAATTTGTAATAATAAAAAAAAAATAAAAATATAATAAAGAAAGAAAAATTAAGCAATGTTTTATTACGAGTATAAAGGATATAAAAATTGGAACAAAGATAAAAAGTTATTTGAGGACAACGTCAAATACTAAAATAAAATTCTAAAACGAATTTCGTTTGAAAATAAAGAATATTATTGGAAGATATTATATTTGTATTATATAGACATGAATTTAAGTTTTACACTAAAATAGAATTTATTTTTTGTTTTAAATCAAATTGTTGTTGAATTATAGGGCAAAGGAAAATTATTTTTCAGAATCAACCATTATTTCATAATCTAGGTTAGAGAAAATATTGAAAAATTCCTATGACATTTTTAAGATATGAAATAACTATACATAGGTACTTGAAATTATTTTAAATTATTATAAAATGAGTGTAGAAATTTTATTGATTTTTTATATGCTATTTTTGTGCATAATTTTCCAATTTTAAATTAAAACTTATTATTCTTTTAAAAGTTCATAACTTAAAATTCTATAAAAAATATTTGGGTTTCAGTAGTTATTGTACTTTTATTATAGGAACTAATATCAAAGCGTTTGGCAATATAAAGATTTTCTTTTGAAATTTCCAGTACTGGTTATTTTGCTTAACTCAGACAAAAGAACGAATTAAAATTATTTAAGGGCAAAATCAGGATTTGAAAATTGATCGTCGATTATAGGAAAAATAGAGGACAATAAATCCTAGGAGGAGTATAGAGCTAGACATCATAGACTATGCCATGCCCCAGTTTCATTGCGTCATAGAGTTTTCAACCAGTGATTAGCCTGCCGTAGTTTTTTTTCTTAGTTATTTCATAAGTATTGTATTTTAAAGCTATAATATTGAATATAATTTTTATAGTGACCTGACCGGGGTTTGAACCCGAGACCTTACGGTTAAAGGACTGGTGCCATAACCACTACACCAATGGTCAGGCTAGCCTATAAAGAATCTGTTGTACCAACTGAATATAAAGAAGGATATAAAGAATCTGTCATACCAAATGAATAAAATTTTTTACACTTTATTAATTTATAAGAAGGTTATAAATTTTTTGGAATTTTAATTTTATATAACAAAAGATGTTGTAATTCACAATATTGAATTTAACATTTTGAATTTTAAAAAATATAAAATCCGCCTTTCAGATACAGTGTTATATTGGAATCTTTTTGTTTTCTTTTTTTTTTTGTGTGTATATTCAAAATATGTGAAACACTGTAATGAATAGTGTTAAGACTGTAATGAATTTCAGATGAATAATAAAAAATTTTATATTACTCAAAAATTTAATTTTCACTTGTTGTATTGTCTCATATAGAAATTAAAATTTCTCACACAAACATCCTATTGGTATTAACAATAAAACACCTATAAAATATAATATAATACATACAATGTAATTATATAGATATAAATATATAAGCTAGCTTGTTATACAATAATAATGGTGCTGTCAAAGTGTACAAAATATCAAGAGAAAATAATTAATACATTGCGTTTTCATTGCGATTAAATTAAGAGAAGAAAAGAGAAAAGGTAAAAAAAAAAATTAAAAATTTAAAATTTACAACAATAGAAAATGAGAGAAAAAGAGAGAAAATAATAATACTATTATAATAATAATAATAATTATTGTTAACACATAAATTTTTTTCTGAAAGCGTAGGAAGCGAAATAAAATCAAAAAATTTTTAAGCAAAATTAAATTTTAAATAAAATAGATAAGTTTTGACACTCGAGTATTTTAAAATAAAAAAAATTTATAAAATAAAAACAAGAAGATAATATCAGAAATAAATAAGAATAAAAAAAATAAGAAGAGAGGAAAAACAAAATCAAATTCACAATTTTACTGCCACATTTAGTAGTTAGTGATTTTTCAAATTAAAAAAAAATATAAATTAAGAAAATTTTTCTTATGCACCATTTGAAAGAGATCTATGTTGTTTATGTGTTCTCTGATCATGCTGCCTATTATAGTTGGAACGTTTTGTGAACTTTGTTGTCTTTGATGTGCTTCCTTTGAGGATTTTGATTTAATTTTTCAAATTTTTTTTTTTTATTTATTTATTATATAATATTATTGAAATGTTGGTGAATTAAATTTTTTGAGATAAAAAAAAAAAATAAAATATAAGTAAATTTAATTTTAATAATTATGAATGAGATAAAGGGGTTTAAAAATGTTTAAAACTAATAATAAAAAAAAGGTAATTTTAGTTTAATATTCATACTTAATTATGATGAAAAAATCTTATTCTATATAATTTGAATTAAAAATATTTTATTTACCGTACATAAAAACAAAAGTGTCGTAATACAAATGTTCTCAATTTATAAATATAGTAATTAAAGCTTCAATGGCTTGAAGCGTAGTAAATAAAATTTTATAGTAAAATTAATTTTTTGTTTCCCTTTTTGATCCCCACACATATGGTGTTGATAAAAATCATGTCTCAGTTCCGTATTTCATTGTTAAAATTAATTAAAACTATAAATTTTAAAGCTTGGAGAGCAATAGTAATTGCTAGACTGCAGATTAGTGAATAAATTTGTAGACTGTAAGATTAGTGAATAAAATTGATAAACTGAGTACATAACATCTAAAGAACCGGGAAAACAGTACACCGTGACTACGTACAAGAATTCATAGTACACCCACCACCCCCACCAACTACCTGAGTACGGAACGTGCCTTGCAAAACACGCTCCAAATCCCATAATATTTCTTATTTGGCTTACACGGAAATTCAAAATTCGAAATTACTTTGGAACCCACTTCTTTCCAGTAAATTGTTTTGGACAGACGTTGCCTTTTCGTCCTAAAAACATTTGTAACTATTTTACATATAATTTCTTATTTACTCCCATATTTTATTTGTAACACTTTTATTTTTATACTTAAAAATATTTAAAAACAAAATACTTCTTTGAACAATCTATGATTCAAAAGGAAAACTATTACTTATATATTTGAAAAAAAAAACTCCTAATTTTAATGTAATTAAGGTAAAAAAAGGGTTATAAAAGCTTCTTTAAAACTTAAATATTCATTGTAATCTAGAATATATAAAAAAAAGAAAATACAAAATACCTGTTCTCGTATAATTATCGTGATCACCACCAATTGTTCTGTCTAAATCGCTAAGATCATTCGTTGAGATCCTATCGTTGGGATTGTCACATATATTTCCACTACGATGGAATGAATGTTGTCTATGAAGTCCAGTGCTACTATAAATATTAAAGATATTGGAATATATTAATTACAGCATATTTTTTAAAAAAAATATTTTTAATTTTAAGGCTATAAGTAAGTTTCATTTATTGTTCGAAATTTAATAAGTTACTTAAAATTGTTTTAATACTTACATTCTAATTGATCTAGTATCACTATTGCTTTTGTCTCTATCATGTGATGTTGCTCTCATATATCTATGTCTTACTTCTACACCAGCTTGTTCTTCCTACATTTTTAAATATATCATGAGAATTATATTGTATAAAATTTTTTTTTTATTTTAAAAATAATTTGGAATAAAAATAAAATATGTATAACAAAATTAGACGGATATTCGCGTAAATTTTGTGTATTACTATAAAAACCTTCTTAATCTTAAATGATACAAATTTATGCGAAGATCTAATATAGTTAACGCTACTAAGGATTCAAATATTAGTAAACGTAAATTTACTTTTCCAATGCGCAACGATTGACTGTCGTATATTCACTTTTTTTATGGTTGAAGGTGCCATCAGTAATAATCGATACGTTACGTATCGTAAATAAGACCAAGTAATTCTTCTTGTAAATTTTTTCAAATTTTTCAATTTTTGATATTGAAATCGAGATAATCAATTAAATACTCAATTAATTTTATTTGAACTGAAAATAAGTACACCAATAATTATTTTTCTTTTCAACATTTCAGTATCCAATTTCAGTATCTTTATTGAAAATGTTTTTAATTGAAACTTTCACGAAAATATTTATTATACTAATTATACGGTATGTGCGTACATGTATAATCGATAGCTATAATTATAAATATAATTGATAGCAACACTATAAAATTCAAAATAAAATATTTTATATAGCTGAACTAAACTAGGTCATAAAACATTTTCAGTAAATTTTTGAAGTGCTGGTTCATGCTATAAAAAAATCTTTAATTCAACAACCCAGTTTTCAATCATTAATTATGTAATTTTATTATTTAACATTTGGATATTATTGTATATGATTTTTAACTATATGACGGAAGATGAATATAAAAAACTAAAGATTTCAAAGACATAATGCTTCACCAACAGTATTGTTTAAAATAAGCGAAGTGTTGCTTTCACAAGTTTTTCATAGTTTCCGTTAGTAAGAAACCTATTATTTGACCTTTTCGAAATTAAAAATTTCAGTTTTATATGTTCGTCTATAATTTGAATAAGAACTACTTTGATTTGTTAAGAGATCATGCACTATAGTATTGCATTTAAATGTTTTAAATAATGGTGTGAAAATTAAAACATTTAAATAAAATATTTTTACAGATATTAATACATATGTACCTATTCATATATAAATAATCAATAGCATTTTAAATACTTACATCTCTCATATTGTACGTTATAACTAAATTATTAACAAAACTGTCATAAAATTCTGGATACAAATCTAAAACATCGAGTAAATCCTCTCGATGAATTTTATGCAAATCACAATATGTAAGCGCTCTAACATTACTATTCGATTTACCAATTGTTGGATATATACAAGGATTTTCACCAAAAATATCATCTTTCCCTAAAGTATAAAAAACATAAAAAAAAAATTCAGTTGTATATAATATAGTTAGAATATGCATTTACGAAATATGTTACTGGCAAAATTTATTATAAAAATATTTCACATATAGCCAAAATACTTGCTCTACATAGATAAGGAATAAAAAAATTTGTAAATAAAATTTCAGATTCCATGTATTAAATGTAAACTTAAAATTTGTGATTTAGTAATTTAATGATTTAGGCCAATTTATATCAATCTAAAGCAATCTAGGCAAAATGTTTGATTCTCATCCGAATAAACAAAGCAAAACCTTTAAACAGGTTGATTTTAAATTTTACCATAAAACTACAAATACACAAGCAGAAATTAGCAGTTTTTGTTCCAAATAATTGCCGTCCGCAATGCATACAGTAATGCAGGTTACGTGATTGTATTAAATTTGGCATACAGAGTTTTCGGTGTAAACGATCGTCTCCATGGTACTTAAGCGTAATAACTATTTTTAAGAAAATTTCGGTCTGTCGGTCTGTTGTGTACATTTTATATGTGTGTTTATTTTGGCTATGTCACGGATTGATCAACTTTTGAGACATATCAGGGCTCGAGAACTGGATTTTTTTTCGGGCCGACTTTATATTTTTGCATATATAAATTGAAATAATCAACCAATATTCTTGAAATTCCACATATAAATGGAAGGTGTTGAACGAATTATTTTTTCGCAAAGATAAGGCCCGGAAACCACACGACGGGTCTATTTTTGATATTTTGCCATATCTACGAAAGTAATTGATGGAATTTTTAAAAGTGAAATTTTTAGGGAATTCAGATGGAATAAAGCGAAACTCTACAAAGAGCAAAATTAGTACTTTTCTGGGTATGTTAAGTGAAAGACTATTAAATAGTATTTGAAAAGCATTTTCATAATCTTCTGTACCACTTTCGCTAAACTAGATAATAAAAATTGAAATCGGATATGTGCTGACCACATCAATTTTTTTTTGTTATCACATATTGAGAAAATGTACTGGATAAGAACCCAGAATCATACACAAAATTTCGAAGTTATAAAAAATAAATTATTTTTATAACTCCGATTGCCGGTAACATTATTCTTTACATTACATGCATATTATTGAATTTTTCAGAATTTTTCCATTAGTTTCTCTAAAATATTTTTAGTATTTTTTTTTTAAGAAATAATTCTTACCTAAAATTACCATAACTACATCGTCTTTTAAAATTTCTATTGAACCACGAGCTATGAAATAAAGTGATGTTAAAACATCACCTTTATGGACTAATGTATCACCTGGAGGTGCATGTGTAGTTTTAAATTTAAGTGATAGGGCTCTGTATAGAAATAAAAAAATATATGTTAAGAAATAGAAAAAAAAATCAAATGTTAATATTAAAATATTACAAAAATCTTATATAAAATATTGATTTAATTAATTCTGATTGAATTCATCAAATATTCTCTATATGTAATTCTCTATATGTAACTCTATGTATAATTGTTGTAAAATTATATTTTTATTAAAAATAAACATTTATAATTTTTTATAGGATAAAGGTTTATCATTAATAATTTATTCGAAAAAAAAAAATTTTAAATTTCTAATAATAAAAAAAAAATTTTTCTCTATAAAATATTAAAAAGGATTCAAGAAAAATCTACTGCGTATATTATCAAGGCTTTTAAATTTATTGATTAACTTTTATGTAAAAAAAAAATATTAGTTTTATTTTTGGTTTCTTGTTTGTTCTTTGTTTGTGTAAATAACCAGAATGTATAAAGTTATTAATTTATTAAATTTAATAAACGTTTAATAAAGGTTGGTATTTTATTTTATTAAAGTCATCTGGCGTAACATAAAAAACTGCATATGGTTATATTTTTTTAATTTTCCTTGAAAAATAATTCATTTTGAATTAAATATAGAAGAAACATGAATTTAATATTAAGCCAGTAGGTACTCAATAAAGTAAAGGCCATTGGGAAGGCCAGGAAGTGAAAATTCGTACAAAAATTCTTTAAATTTAATCTGAAGTTTCAATCGAAAACGATTGATTTATAGAATAATAGAAAAACTTTTACATGGGGTATTTTTATATAATATTTTTGTGACATTAGGATGATAACTAAAAATTTATGCGAAATTATTATTATGTAATACAATAGGTTTAATTTCATCGGCTCTCCTCCGGTATTCTTATATAATTTTTCAATAAATTTATTTTTCTAACTTACTTTTTTATACACATATTTTTACCTTAAACAACCTGGGCTGGCACCATCAAAGGCTGAACAATTTGCTAGTAGGTTACGATTTAAATGAAGGCAAATATCAGCTTGCAAACATTCTGGAAAACCTTTCAACACTGAATTCATATCAATGCCATTCGTATATGTCCACGCATGCTGAAAATATTCCTCTAACCTTTGTCGCAAAGGATTTGGAATCTATACATAATATTATTATTATTATATACATATAAGAATTACAGAAAAAAAATAAAATTTTATATATCACAGTTTTCTATATTTATCATGTAATACGAAATTATTTTAAATTGCAATTATTATAAATTATAATAATATTCACCTGATGAAATCTAATAAATTCTCTAACACGAAGCATTTGCGTGTGATATCTTGCTGTTCCGGAATATAGTCTTTGTATAATTGCCGATACATTACCAAAGATACTGGCATACATGAGAGCTAAAATATAACGAAAGTATAGGGAAAAGAAAATTTCCAAAAATTAATACAATTTTTAATAAATTTTTCATTATTTTACTGAATTGTATATTTTATTGTATTCTATTTGAAATATAGGAACTCGCTACACACATAATATTATCTACACTATTTTTATTGAAATACAAATAACTCAAACAACAAGATCACTCGAAATAATGTAGAATATCTAAAAATAAAAACATCAGAATGAAAAACAAATCATCACAAGCTGCATCGAATTCTTGAACGTCCTTGTGGAATCACCTATAGAAATATATGTTAAAAATTTACGAATTGCAATCGGTGAAATAACAGCTATTCGTCCAATCAGTCAATCAATCTCATCAGTAATTTACAAAAAAGGTGAAAAATTGAACAACCATAACCTATATTTATGTATATATGACTAAAAACAATTCACAACATTTTACGAGAAAACTAATGCAATTGTTGTAAAATACAAAATTGGAAAAATTGAACAAGCGTTCCAAAAGAAATTATATTTTATATCCAAAAACTTAGTTTGGGTGAGGGGGGGTAAGCAACGATGACTTGACAAACTCTTTAATATTCTAAATTACATTTTAGTCCTACATTTTTTTTTTGTCTAAATCTACACATAAAAAACAATCACTTTTTTTTTTTTTTTTTGTAACACAATGAAAATTTTTTACTTACAGCCCATTAACATAACACATATCGTAAAAATTTTTTCAGCATCTGTATTTGGTGCAACGTTACCAAATCCGACTGATGTTAATGAAGTAAATGTAAAATATAAAGCTGTTATATAACGAGACTGTAATTAAATAAAATTTAATATTAAATAAAATATTTACTTTTTATTTAAATTTAATTTTTACAAAATTAAAGTATTTTCAGTATTAAAGATTTTTTTTTTTGTTAGATTTTTGAAAAAAATTCTTAGCGATTGTGTGATAACGCAGCTGTATGTATATATATAATATATCATTATTATGTTGGTATATCACATATCTTTCTTAAATGGAAATAAGAAGGATATCTTTGTATTTTATTTCCATTATTAAAAGTTGATTTTGTTTTTAATTTATAAATTGTATTGTACAAAAAATAATTGTGTTTTCTATAATATTTGATTTTATTTTTAATATACAATACGTGATCTTTACTGAAAATACTGTGAGATCTTGATTTTTTTTCTTATTTTTATTTAAGAAACTGGATGTGCAGTTATATAAAAAACTCGACGAAAGTTTGAATGTTAACTATTTAGTTTATTTACAGTGCTTTAATTTACTTTAATTACAGACCTCTATTTAATCACTTTATTTAAAATATATTGAAAGTTTAATGTACTGATTTTACGTACGGTTTTTAAAACTGATAAAAAAACTGAATAAATATTTTTCGAAAATTTTTTTCATAAATCTGAAATTCAGTTGCTTTGTTTTATTCATGAATACTCGTTACTGAACTCGTTAAAGAATCGGGGAGTGCGTTTTTTAAATTAAGCTGATAGAGGCTACGGTTCCCAAGATATCAGAACTTTCTTAATAATAGCATTTTGAAGTTCTTTATGAAAATCCAGTGACGTCACCATTATTTCAACTAAATTTTAATTTTACACTTGCATTTACATATCTTAATAACTGACAGTATTTAAATGTAAAAAAAAAAGTTATCATACAAAATTCTCTCCTCTTATACATAAGTACAATATTTCAATATAATTAACATCACAATGTAATAACCGCACCTCTATATAACAAGAAAAACATATGAATCAATTCTAACATAAATCTGTCACATTCTGATTATTCCATTAAGTATATATAAGAAATATAATACTAGTTACTAAATATTATACTAGTTACTAATAAATATAATACTAGGTACATGATGGAACAATTTGAAAGATTATATATGCAAGTATTTAGTAACGAGTCTTCTTGATCTACGAGGAACCAGCTACTTCGAATTTTCGAAGTAACAAGACGTATTGAAATAACAAACTGAAAATAATATTCAAAAATTGATTTCAAAAATATTCCGGCTATTGGAATGTTATTCGATAAATAATAAACTTATTATTAGCCTTAATTATTAATAAATGATTAACTTATTATACTAGCCCATTTTAAAACCCGTGATAAGATATGTGAAATTTGGAGGCCATTTTGGATATTATATTTTTGTATTTATATGATCTGAATTTTTTTATTTTATTTTAATTAAGTATGATATTGGTTATTGTATTAAACTGTTATATTTTTAATATTTATTTACATTTCTTAACCTTTAAGCTCTTAATAATTTTACACAACAAACCGAGTATTAATAGATATGAGTTTTTAATTTAAAAATATTTATGAAAATTTAATTATGTTTAATATGTTGTTTAAATAGTTTAAATCCCAAAAATTTTATTGTATTTAATTTAGTATAATAGAATGATAAGTCCTTTATTATCAATTAAACTTAATGAAGCTAATGCTCCTTAATAATCATATTTTATTTAAGAAGATAATTGAAAGCATAAAGTATTGTTTTCATAAATAAAATCAAATATTAACACATCAGACAATACAATTTATAAATAATGTAAAATATAAGTAGAGTTTTTATTATTTTTATTTTTTAAATCTTCTATCAAATTTATTTGCAATTATTCTGAACATTTCTTTTCATTTCGTCGTCTTCTAGTTCAAAACTTAATACATTTCTGCAGATTTATTTGTGTTAAATTTAAAACCCAAAAAACCAAAAAATAAAACTTAAATAAAAAAAAAATTTTAAATTTTGGTTTCAAAATTTCATGCAATTTACATGTCTTTATTTTTTTTTAACGAAAACATAAAAACTAATAAGAAAAAAATTATTAATTTTTTTCTTTAAAAAAATTAAATTTCCAAATCCATTTATCCCTTTATGTAAAAAGAATAAAAGGAGGAATACAAAAAGCAATCATGCATTTTACCAAAAAAAAAATTATTTTTTATATCAAATTCAATTATTATGAAAAAAAAGCAAAACAAAACATTTTATTCGTGTCTCGTATCAAAAAAAAAAATGTCGTTTTATATCAAAAAAACAAAAAAAAAAAATCAAAGAAAAAAATTGCATATATTTAGAAGTTTTTTTTTTTTGTACTGGATATTTTTGCGAGCATTTTATTTATTTATTTATTATTTTTTTTTCGCATTTGAATTAAAAGTGAGGCGCAAAATAAAATGAAGAATTGACTCATAATGTTTAAAAAACTAAAGAAAATAGTAAAAAAAAAACCATAGTAAAAAATAATGATTTTATTTTTATTGAATAAAATCTCCCCACCATTCTCTCTCTCTCTCTCTCTCTCACTCTATCTCTACTATCTCACTTTTTCTTTACAAAATTTTTTGTAATAAAATATCTAATACATATCCAGAGTACAATACAAAAAAAAAAATATTATGTGTGTTTATGGTTATATGCAATAAATTTTCCTCTGAAAAAAAACAAAGAAGAAAAAAGATAAGATAAAATTTTTATATAATTTTTTTTAAGATATGTATTTATGTATGTATATGCATTTTTTTTTTTATTGTAATAATAAGAAAAAAGGAAAAAAACAATCGTTTTTCTCATTGATTTGTTTCTTCTAATATTTTTACACAATACATCTTCATCATTATTAATCATCATCATAATCGCATTACCATCATCATCATCATCGTCATCATTGTATAATTGTCATCATTACTCTCGATAATATCAGATATCGGCGTTTTACTTTTTATTTTTTTTTTTTGTTTTATGTTTTCTATGTCATGACAGAGTTTTCCAGCAATTAAAATAAAGAGTACTTAATTCAAAATTCATGTTTTTGTTTTGCTTGTTATTATTATTATTAATTTTTTTTACTCATTTTTGAGTATATTGTTTTATTTTTTTTTTTCAAATCTTTTCAAATTAGTTTTATTTTCTCTCGCAAGCGAGAGTATATCGCGTTAGATATTATATATGTACAGTTACATTTTTTTTTATTTTTATAAATAACAATTTATTTTTTTTTTTTCAAACATTCTTTGGATCATCATTAGTGAAATCATCAATTTTTTTTTTGGTTTGATTTTGTTTTTCTTAATTTTTTTGTCTCCTAATCTTAATCGGATTCCCGATTTAAATTATATTTGAAAATTGTGAATAAAACTTTTGGGAAATTTTTTATTGAATTGAATTGGAAATTTTTTTTATTAAAAAAATATTTTTATCTCTTAAATGGAAAATGAAACCATATAAAATTAAAAAGAAAAAAAAATACAGGAAAAACAAATGAAAAACAGAAGAAAAAATCGATAACAGTATTTCAGTGTTCATAAGAATAAAAAAAAAGCAAAAAAGAAAATTAAGTTTTTCCTTTTTTAATTTTCTGTTTTTTTTTCATTTGAATTTTACCAGAAAAGCAAAGTATCAATAAAAAGAAATCAAAAAAAAAAAAAAGAGAGAAACGAAAAATTTAAAATTGACAATTTCACTTTATAATGATTTTGAATTTATGTTAAGTACTTACTTTAATTGAAGGACCACCCGTATTATTCGGAAAATATGGTTCTTCTATGCTAATTGCTAAACTATCTAACCAACCAATTTTTTTATCTGGATGCATTGGTCTTTCAGCATTTCCAATTGCATACCTATAAATAAATAATTTATTATTAATTAAGGTTAATAAGGTACAAATTGTAAAAAAAAAAATTTTAATGTAGAATAGGTACACAAATTGATGTACCTACTGGAGAGTATTTTGATATATTAATTTTTAAGAGAATAGAGAAGTAGAGATTGTCCATAATATTATGTCGAAATTAATATAATTTCAAATTGAGTTGAAAAAAAATTAGTTGAACGTTTACAGTGCTTAAAAATGAATAAATTGCTTCTTTCTTTTAAATTGAAGGAAGTTTTATTAATTTTTAGATTAAAAGAGGTATATAATTCTTAAAAAACTAGATTCCATATTAAGTATCAGTTCATGTCCTCTGATAAATAATTGCCCTAAATTACAATAATACAAATTAACAGTCTTCATTTAATTCTTTTATTTCTTCGTTGTCGTGTAGGCGTACGAATAGTGAATATTTTTGAAAAAAAAAAATATTTATAATGTGAAAAAATCATAATGCAAAATGGTTCTTCTTTCATAACAGATTCATTTTTTTTCTTTATGTAAATTAAAATAATCATCAGATTTAAAAAATAAATGCAAAATATTTTGTAATCAATTGTATAATATTTAAATATATTGCCGAATTTACGAAATTTACTGAAACAATATAAAAAATATCCCTAATTATTAGATGTCTAAAAGCAACTCAGCAATAAATTGGTGATGCTACACGTTTGTTTTAATTTTATTATGTTTTTCTTGGCACACTCAGAAATTAATTTAAATTTAAGAAAATAAAAAAAATCATTCGGCCACAATTCATTGTTTTTATATATTTTTTTTGGAAATATTTGCAAATCTGTATAATAATAATAAAAAAAATAACATATCTTATACAATAGCCATGAATGTTGCGGTATTATAATTTAGCGAAATAATCAAGAAACTTTTATAATAATATATATTTTCACTATATTGTAAATATAGATATTTTATTTTTCTAGAACAAAATGAAATATAAAAAATAACATGCAAAATAACTGGTAATAAACTGCCAAAATTATTTAGTAGATTTTCAAATGTTAGCATTTTATTCATAAATAAGATTAGTTTATTTTGGAAAAGTGTGCCAAAATAATTTTTACTAAATACCTATTCGATTTTATGAGGCCATTAGATATCACAATTTACCATGAAACTGTTTTTTTTTTTCTTTTTTGGTGTTGGCACCAGTTCAAATTTTCTAATGACAATTCTGACGCATAGTAAGAATAGAAAAAAATAAATATTTTAGAATAAATTATTTTTTTTTTTTTCTTGTTGTATTGAAAACATCGAGAATACAATCTTCTACTAAAATTGTTAAAATTTTTTTTTAAATTGTTATATTTTAATGAAAATTCTTGTAGCACATTATTTTCACACCTTATATACAAAATTAATCTTGGCATGACGACCGTTGGTTGTTTTTGCTTCTATTGAAAATTAGATTGTATACATACCTAAATATTGAAGCTTCAGTTTTCCTTATTATTAAAAAATGGTTATTTTATAAAGGTACTAATTAAAATTAAAAATAGGCAAAAAAGGTTCATTTCTATTGTTATGAACATATTTTCAAAATTTTTTTGACATTGTTAATATGTTATTAAAAAATTGCATACTTTCAGGGGCATAATGTGCTTATCCAAAAAAAATTTATTTATTTTTCATTCTCTTATAATCAGTTAAATAAAATATTATTTTACTGCTGTACTTAAAACGTTTTGTATATTAATAATTTGAATTGAGTATAGAATAAATTTATTTAAGTATATTGAAGAGGCTAAGACTTGCTATAATCGATTAGGATAATTTCGACAAACAACATTGTATATATATTTCATACAATTAAAGTTTTCTATTATGAAGATATTTCAAAAACTTCAACAAAGAAAAAAATTTTCCAAATATTTCCTTATAGTGTTTTAATTTTATATTTTATTTGACAATATTCCAAGTAACGAAATCTTCTGAAAATTCGGTACAATTATTGACACCCCAATTATAATTATTATTAATTACTCGTATTATTATTCTATATATTTTATCATACAAATGTAACATATAAAACTAATACTGTATACCATCTGTTATGTAGTTGTCCTAGTTGTACAAAATTGCTCAAAATGCAGGAATTAGTTTTCAAATCTGATTATTTTATCCAGATCAATAGTTGTATCACGGTCTCAACCGTTTTACGTTTTGGTATTCACGCAAATAATCTTAATTTTTAACATTTTTATTTAACATTTAATAAATTGTAGTATATGATTATGATAGAGGAATTTTCAATTTATCTTTTACGGATTATCAAATTTTTATAATTCAACATAGAAAAGTTTTATGAGAAATATCACTCAAGAGTGTCAATAATAAATATTATACCCGTTATACGCTATGTGTTTAAATTAAAAAAAAAATTTTAAATTTTTTTGAAATTAAAATTTATATTTAAAAAATAATCAATTGTATTAAACAATTGAAATTAAATTAAACAATTAAAATTTAAGCTGAATTATAAAATACAAAAATCTAATATGTTAAAGAATGTTATATTTGATTGTATTATTATTGCAATTGCATTAAAAAATTACATCGAATTCACGCAATATTATAATGTATAACAGAAGAACTTAAGTGTTTTTATATAACTTGTTATATAAGAAAAACTTACCATATACATGCTAACCAATGGGCAATTAAGGCGAATGTTGCCATAAGTAGAACAAGTACTGCTGCACCATACTCTGAATATCGATCAATTTTCCTAGCAACTCTAACAAGACGTAGTAAACGTGCTGTTTTCAGGAGTCCAATCAATGTGGTGGTCTAATGTTGTTAACAGTAATTTATCGATAATATTTCATTTTGTTTTTTTTTTTTTGGTTTGTTGTTGTTGTTATAGACACATGTTTATTTATTTATTTTATAATTTTAAAATTCGTCGATAGTATTTTTTTTTTTTGTATGGTTGTTTTGCGTATCGATTTATATTTCGATATTTTTATTTTAATATTTTTCGATATTTTTCGATTTTTTATATTTTATATTTTTTTTTTTTTTAAATTATTAAATTTAGATTTTTTTTTTTCGGTTTGTAAATTTACAAAATTGGAATTGAAATAAATTTATATAAATATAAAATATAAATATACAGATACGTTTAAAAAAAAAATAAAAAAAAAAAAAAGAAATATAAAAAAGAGAAAAATTGTTAACAAAATTTTGCAATAAAACTATTTTTAATATAAAAGTAAATTTATTATTATTTTTTTTTTTCATATAAAAATAAGAAAAGAATAAAAATTTAATATACGAGATATTTGTAAAAAAAATTTTTTTAATTTGAATTAAAATTATTTTGATTTACTTATATAAAAATTTGCAGTAAAAAAAAAAATTAAAAAAAAAACTTAAGAAAATTGAAAAAAAAAAAAAAAAATTGTTTGTTTATATTTTGTTTTAGTTTTGTAAGATTTGTTTAAAAAAAAAAAACAAAAAATAAAAAAAAAATTAATTATTTTATTTAACAATTTTGTTTTGTTAAAACTCGGAGGAGCATTTTGTGTAAAACATTTATTTGTCTTGATTTTTAATAATTATATTTTTTATATATTTTTTTGTTTGTTCTATACTTTTTGGTGGTTTTTTATTGTGATGTGGTATATATATACATATATATATATATATATAATTAGTGATAATATATATATTTAGTGGCTTGTAACAAAGTGTAGGTGGATTGTGGTGTAGACAAAATACATAATTAATAATTATTGAAAATATTAGCATTAAAACAAATAAATTGGTACAATATAACAAAATTAAATTTGTGATCTTTATTTTTGAATATTTTTAAAATAAACAAAAAAAAAAAAAACAAAAACACTGAAATATTTTTTGAAATTGCTGTTTAACAATCAACTGTTTTTAATGGAATAAAATTTTTTTGATTAATTTTTTTTTTGTTTTTTTTTTTTTTTTTTTATGTATAGCGATAATTTTAAACAGAAATAATAAAATTTTTATTTTATATTTTATTTAATTTTTCAATTAATTTATTTAATTATTATTCTTTTTTTTATATTAATATTGAAATAAAAATAATAAAGTAGATCTATTGTTAGTAAATAGCATTTATTTTTTTAATATTTTCCTATTTTGCTTAAATTTACAATAAGAACTGGTCAACAAAAATTCATTTGTCTATCATTTATATTCTCATTAAAATTTTTGTTTTCCTTCTACACTCCTACTAGGAGTATAGGACTAGTACATCAGAGATAGTCATGCCTCAGTTTAATTGCGACTTCATAAATCATGGAGTCTTAACTAGGTAGGTGACTAGCCTTCCGTAGTTTTTGCTTTCTTTATGTTAAACATTTAAAGGGTATTAATATTTATTATTTATTTTTCTTACTTTTTAATATCGAATATTATGAATATTCGAAAATTACTTGTATAATAATTATTTATTTTATAAGTATTGTATATTAACCTATAATATTAACCGGGGCTTGAAGCCGAACCAATGGTCAGATCCCCATTAAAATTAGAGTATAGTATGTACTCGATTCACTTCGAGAATATCGAATTTACAAAATACATAGATCCATTCATAGTCTAGAAATACATAGTTAAGGATATTTTAAATAAATTTATAAACTGTCGAAACAAATTTATAAATAGTTTCGTTTGAATTAGACAGCATTAATAATAATTATTATTAATTTTTTATGTTATAAAATAATTTTTTTTTGTTATACAATGCCTTTTAATAAAATAACCAAGTTTTCTCTTTGAAATATAGATTAAACCTTTTAATAATAGCATTTTTAGTTGAAAATTCAAATATTAAAATTTGTTCAATATTAAAAATTTTGAAATAATTATTTAAAACTTAAAATGTGAAATTTTAATATCGAGTGTTTCACTGAATTATATCACAGAAAAATATCTACATGAACAATATCTCACATTGGGACTTTTATATATTAAATTCATTTATATGCCGAACATATTTCTAATTATTAAGTTCTTTTAAATACAAATTTTTTTCAATCAGCTTTCAATCAAGAAATTAATTCAATCAGCTTTAATTAAATTTAATTTAATTTTTTACTTAAAAGTGAATGTTTTTAAAAGCGATCTAGTTTTGGTTTTGTTTGAATATGTTGGAAGACAGGAAAGATTGCTTGCATTTAAAATTGAATTTTTTTTTAAATTTAAAATTTAAATTAAAAAAAAAATAATGTATAGAATCAGTTTACTTAAAAATTCTTGTAAATTGCATTTTATTTTTAATTCACTCTCTGAGCTTAGTAACCTGATAGATATACCTGATAGGCATTACTTAGCCATTTTAACACGTTCCCTGTCCGCTGAGCCACATATGGTTCAGGAATCGTGCGCTTGATAAGCACTGATACATTCCTGAGCCATATGTACGTCAGGGGGTATATGAAACTTCTAAAGCAAATTATTCCACTGGACGTAACGGAACAGTACAGTTTCTGCACTAGACGCGATGGAACAATAATAAAGTAAAGAAAAACGCTGGGACATACGAAAAAATATTTTTTAAATTTTGCATTTTTGTATTGAGACAGGGAACGTGTTAAATTGTTTACCCAATTTAATTCGAAAAATCATTACAACGTGCTAGTTGATATTTGTTAACCAGTTTTATTTTTAATATTTTACAGCATAGCTTAATTATTATAATATTATGTGTAATTATTAACTGTTATATATAAATTTTTGTTTTTAATATTATATTTGTATATTGTGTTTTATTGTAATGTGTTTTTCTTATCAATTAAGTGATATTTATTTTATATAAATTAAAAATAAAAACTTTTAATTAAAATGAAAATAAAATATAATCAAGAGAAAAACAAAAAAACAGTATAATAAAATTAATAATTATTATAAGTATAACGAGCGTTTTATAATATTTGTTAAAAATAAAAAAATAGCAATATTGCGGCGTGTCATTATTACAATATAATAAGAAAAATTTAAAATTAAATTGCTTTGAATATTTTATATATTTTTAAAAATTATTATTATAATATTGTAGGATTTTTTTTTTACTTGAAAAGAAATAAAAATATATTATATACTATTTAAAAATAAATGTATAGTAATTTAATAAAACTTATATATTAAAAATTATTATTCAAAAATGAAATAAAAAAAAAAGAGAGAAAAACTAATAAAAAACTTAATATTACAATACTTAATTAAATAAATTCTTAGAATATTATATTTAGAATTAATAAAAAAAAATTAATAATTAAATTATTTTTGACTTCAAATTTACGAGGGAAATTTAAGGGAAATAAAATTTGTTTCTAAGAAATTATAAAATTAAAAAAATTTTTAATTTTAATAATTATTTGCTAATTCAGTGGCATTAGTTGATTTTAAGGTAGACTTACAGGTTCCTACATTGTATTTTAATATTGATTATTTAAAAATTTACTGATCTTTACTAAATCAACTTTTCAATTTATTCGCGAAAACTTATTCTTATTACGTTTCTAATCAACTAAAATGTTAAAATTATAAAAGATAGTTAAAATTAATATAGATTTAAAATCTATGCACACCGGATGACAAAAGAATTTTTGCATTTTTTTAGATCTTTTACAAAATTTTGTTCGAAAATTTTTGTAAAGATTCTTTTTCGAATGTATTTCGGAATCTGAACCCCAGTTGCGCCTGTTTTTCGAACTACATGACAAAGGATGATAGTTTTATTAATTGGAAATCATGATTGGAAATTAAGAATGCATGATCGAAAAAATAAAGAAAAGCATTAAGATCATAAAACTATTAATAAATATTTGAAAATACTTTTCTTTTAACAACTCCTTATTCAAAAAGTAATCTGTTATTTGAAAAATTATAACATATAGGAATAAGAATCGTTTTTAAAAAAGGTTTAAGACTGTTGTTTCTCTCAGACAATAAGAGAGGTAGAGAGAAAATGAGATTGATGATTGAACAGAAATTGTAGTTATTGTATATTATTATAAAATAATTTTCTAGATGAGAATATTTTGAAAATATCTTTGTATTAAAAATAAGGTCATAATTTACTATTAAAGTTCTTATATAAATATTCGGTTAACATTTTCTGATCATTCGAGTTAACAATGAAAAAATAGAGCGCTATTATAATATTTACCGTATTTTCTTAGTATTTTAATCTAAATCTTTAATTAATTCATGATATTAATTGTCATCTGGTGTATTGTTGTTAGCATAACGAAATAATTTCATAAGACTTTCATTGCATAAAGTTTTCCATTTGAACGATATTGTCATAATAGTTTCAACAAAAGAAACTTAAAATTATGTAACAAATTGTAAAGGAAAAACTGCATTATAAGTTATTTATACCCATCGAAGATCTCACGCTATTTTGCTAAATAAACTAAAATTTAGGTTTATGAATTCATTAACTACATAAAAATATGAAATTGGGAAATTCGAAAAGTGAACGCGATATTGATAAATTGAATGGTATTTTTTTAAGGGCAAGGATAATCATAATTTAAATTATTTTTTTCTAGTTTTGTTTTTTTCTGAAATTATTATCAAAAAAATTTTTAAAATAAAGAATTTTTCCATCCTAATATCATATTGTTGGAGCTTAAATATTAATTTCGATTAACTATAATATTATTAATTCGAAATTAATCTGGATGGTTTTTTTTTATTTTAATTTTAAATGGTAAATTTAATTTTATGTATGAAATTTTATGTTTTCTTCTAATTATTTTTCATTTTATTAATTTCCATCGCATGCAAGTATATAT